AAGATGGGCAGATCGTACGTTTTTTTAATCACTTTACAACCATCACAAGACTAAGGTCTTGCGATGGTTGTACAGTGTATGGCCACCTTTAGGCCCCTTTCACATGGGCAGTCTGATCAGGTACACCTGTCAGTTTTTCAAGCAGACCCGATCAGATGTCCAATGTTAGTCTATGGGCAGCCGTGTGTAAACGGACGGGTGTCTGTTTACATACGGTTAGCCCAGACTCTGGCCAGGTCCGGAAAAACACACGGATCACAGATCTGCTACACCGGACCTGATCATGAAGTCGGAAATAATCTGATGTAAATGGACACATGTCCATTTACATCCGAATCCCCGTAGACTGACATGGGGTCAGATAATTTCAGTTTTTCCTCTATCACAAGATGGAGGAAAAAACTGGACATACATGGATGTCACAACAGTGACATCAGCTCTGTAACGCTCTCATCAGGTGGGGATCTGTGCACAGATCCCCTCCTGATCAGCCTGTGTGAAAGGGGCCTTAAGGACATTGTACAATCAGATTATATATATATATATATATATATATACTGTATATATATGTGTGTGTGTGTATGTGTGTGTATAATGTATATATACAGTCATGGGCAAAAATATTGGCACCTCTGCATTTCTGTCAGATAATGCACCAGTTCGCACAGAAAATTGTTGCATTCCACGCAAAACTCCAAAAATGGACAGATACATTTTAAATGGGCTCATTTTTCCACACTTGCATAGTACAGTTTTATATGCCTCATAATGATGCCACCTGTAGTTGTGATTCTGACTAAGCTTTGAATAGGATGCTGGAGAGTGGGCAAGAAAATAGTGACATATTTTTTCCATAGGCTAATTTCCCAGTTGCTGGTCCCAAAAGGCCATGTGCATTTGGGTTCTGTTATCCATCAGCTAGCAATCAAGGTGTGACGTGACCAATTTTTAAGCTGCTTATAGCTTGATTACATGGCACAGTATGACACTGCAGATAGTCTCAATTTACCTTTGTTCTAGGCTCAAAAAGCACTGGCAGCATTTAATAAAAGACCAGCAGCGGTTTCCTATGCTGCAGTAGGGAACACACACTACTTCTGTGAGTAGAATGTAATGCAGAAGGATGAACAATGTCTATGTGAATGTTTTCATTTATCCAGGTCATGGCATAGCTAGTAGTAGTTAGTCACTTTCAACTGAACTTGTGATGTTGAAGATGCTTTACCACTTGGCTTTCTCACTTCTAATGAGTGTTTGAACGTAAATAAGCATTTATAACCAAAAAGGTAACTCTGTCACCTTAATTTAACCACAATTGTGTCATGAAAAGATGTGGAAAAATAGGAAGACCTGTCACCTACATATACAGGTTTATTCACAAAAGGGTGAAGAGTTTGGAGAAGACAGGAGAAGTGAACAATCTAGGACAACATAGCTGAACTGGAAAGTTTTTTAGGTGCTGTTTGTCATTTTCACATCATGAACATTTTGGTTGCGGGAAGTCTGTGATAAACATGCTTCTGATCAACCAATGTTTGTGAGTACTTTCAACCATTTTGAATGGCTTATTCAAATAAATGTATTTCACGAGGAGAGGATGCTGTCCTTTTGTGTTCATTTTGCATTTACTTTGCTGCACCTAGTTTTGATGTGTTTGATAATCCTAGTTAATCCTGGCATTCTTAAATATGTTCAACCAGTACTTCCCTTTTAGGGCTCGTTCCAACTTTACTGGTGTGTCGGTAAGTTGTTGGGTCCAGTTGAGGGTGGCTCACCACAGGGAGCAATAGCAAGACCCAACAATTCAGCAGCTCTGTAGAAATCCATTGTAACATGTTTTAATGTCATTTCAAAAGTAGATTTTTAATTCTGTGGCTTTCATAAAAATAATACCTGGTGAATTTACAATGAAGATCCTAAGTCAGGCACTTTCTGTTACAGGGTGACTTTGCTCTGTTCTTGTCTGCGACTTGTGGTCTTGCACTCTCAAATTGTCTCCAATGGGCTTCCGATGGAGACAATTGGTCCACTGTTCTTAATCAGTGTTCCGATAAATGTCAGAATTTATTGACAGGTGTATTTTACCTACAGTTACCTACTTCTGTGCTGCATTTGACCTGCTTCAAGCTGCGTTGGCATTCCCATAGGCTTGTATAGGAAGACATGCAGTTCTGATGTGAAGAAAAGCATGTTGACATAGGCCCTAAATGTAATTTAGTTAGGGTTCCCACCTATTTTTACTTTCCAACATCTACAAATAAAGGAAATACTAGTTTTGGTCAACTGACCCCTTAAAGCAAATCTATAATGTCAAGAGTGACAAACATTTCATAGAGTAACAAAAGCAACAATTTCAGATCCCGCAGCTGGAGAGGGGATCTGACTGGAGAAATCAAATGAATGACCCCTTGTAGGAAGGTACAAACCTGAGAATTAGCTGCCAAGGGCAGAGACCTGACCCTTGATGGTACTAAGAGTTTAGAGGCTGGTCCTACCCTGACTCAAGAAACAACAAAAAAGATTTGCCCCGTGGACTATCTCCACTTATCCATGACTCACACCAATGCAAATAGGCTTTCCTGGCCTAACCTTATTTTTGTTTTGCCGCTCTTTTGGGTGACAGGAGGACATTTACTAATGTCCTCCTGTCACCCAAAACTCAGAAAATAGCGGGCGATGGGTTGACGCTTCATCCAGGTCAAGATGAACCTGACCCATCTCACTACCTACATGATTACTCACAAAAGCATAATGGTGTTGTCTGTATAGACATGGATTGAATGAGCTGCTAAAAGATTCATTCAGCAGAAAACACAGACGATTCACCCGCATGACATTGCTCGCCAATCAAGGTTTCTCCAGATACCAGCAACCTTGCACTGACCAGGTGCCTAGGAGGCATCCCAAGCCCTGTAGGAGTGAAACAGCAATATCCTGGTGCAAGAATGTAGTCGAATCTCTGAGTCTAAAGACAGAGGGAATCTGTCCCACGCCATGAGGATGTTTGGTTAAAAACATCTTATGTGGAGCTGAGTAAATGGAACCGCTCTGGAAGACGCACCTGCAATTTATCCACCAATTTACAGATGTGAAAGCTTCTAGAATGTACTACTGTATATATAAATGATTTTTTTCTAGTGTTACTCCTGAATAGGAGCAATATCAGAGGATTGGGCAAGACTTAACAATACTGATAATCAAAGATTTAAGAAGACTACCCTGCAGCCTCCATCTCAGTAACTAGATATCATATTTATATATTATATACATATTTAGACAAAAAGGAGGTCAACACAAATGACAAGCTTCATTAATAAGTAAAAATTTGATTGAAGTAATAAAGGGAACCTAATCTTAAGAGCAGAATGTCAGACAGTAGGATGCCATAAAGAGAGGTTAGGCTAATGATGCATAGTAGACCCTGGCTGCTTTACATAAGCATGCTTTCCTGACCTGACACTCTCACAGTATATTCACACATAGAGAACAAGGCACATACAGTTACTGCTACTTAGACAAAGCTTACGTTATTTTTACCATTTAAATCAATTTAGGACGACCTCTATGTTCAGTATCTTTACAGTTTGTAAACACTTTATCCTCGTCATATATATATATACACATACACACACACACACAACAATATTTACATATATATATTGATATACAAATTAACAAAAAATTGTATATTTACCTATCGGTAATTTTCCCAGACCTCTGGGTTCCCAGTGAACCCAGAGATTTTAACAGGTTACTGTAAATCCTAAGGGAAAATTAAGCAACTTTCCTGAATAGTGAACTTTTGCGCAAGCCCTCAATGAGCTACCCAGTGGGTCTCAGAGGATGTGGCTAGAGGGTACTGACACCCAAGTACATATTGCCTGCCAGAAGAAAGTCCAATATATTTGTTATGGCAAGGTGAAGAGAGTTAAATCACTTTGAGCTTGCGAAGTCTATGAACGTATTATTCTACACTGTAGAATATGTGACATTTAATAGGTGCTCTAACATTCAACAAACACTCGACTGATGAGTAATCCAAGCAAGGCAGTCGTTTAATCCAACCTCCAAACCGCTTAAGGTAATTTTGGATGTGTTTGGATGTAGCACCTGCTGTAAAAGGTTTGAATTTTTAGAATGACTAGAAGATTTTAGTGTCAGAGTCTACATGAGAGGAAACCCTGAACAGATAGGCCACAGGCAAATAATTGCTATCACCCTATCTGGATAATTGTGGGTCCTATTTAGGAGCCTGAAACTACTGGGACTGCAGGAAACACATCAGCATTAAAATATCCACTACTCCTGCCAAGTTCACTCTTGACAAGGAGTGTCTGCACTTTGAGCTCTTAGGGGGTTACCATCAGGCTGAGATCTGGATAACCCATTTGCTGCTGATCCACAGGAACACTTGCTGGATAAGAAATATTGATTGTTGTCCAAGGTTTTGTGGTGTATAGTGTTAGCCAGGAAATTCTGGGGAGTTCAGTGCTGAATTCATGATTGGAGTGTACCTACATCAGCAGAGAGCAGTTCCTTCCTCCCTTATGACACTAAATCTATAAAAAAAATGGAAAAAAAAACCATATCATCCTTTGTTAATTTAAATCAATGCATAGGCTCCTTGGAACGAAAAGGCTCTCTGAATTCCAAGACGCTAGAGCTATCCTAGGTGGACGCCGTTTAGAGGAAGTCTTGTATGATGATTGTACTAGATTGTAAGCTCTCACGAGCAGGGCCCTCCCAACCCTATTGTACTGAAACTGTATTGTATTGTAAATTGTATTGTAACTGTACTGTCTCCACTATTTTGTAAGGCGCTGAACAAATTGTTAGCGCTATATAAATCCTGAATAATAATAGTAATAATAATGAAACATGTCAACGTCAACGAGCTCTGAGATTGGGAGAGACGCACGTTATATACAATACGAATATTTTTTTTTAAATCAGGTAGACCTTTATTAAATACGGTGCAACATGACTATGTTCACACTCACTTGCGGGTGAATCTTCTGAAGCATGTACATATTCTTCATCATCACCAAGTGTAAAATGTTAGTGAGCCAAAACCAGTAATGATAAATTAAGACTGTACAAGACAAGTGAATTAAGGCCATAAAATAAACTGAACACACATACATAAACTGAGAACTTGTCGTCTATTTAAACTACATCTGTAAACTGAGTAATTGTTTTACTGACCAGATATCCAAGTCCTCTGAAGCCATTGTGAAACTCACAAGTGAAAGAATTGACGTTTGCAGCACAAGCTCCTAAAATATTAATACACAAGGATAAATTGTGCAACAAAGTTGGACCTTTTTTTTCATTACAAAGCTGTTGAAGTTTACAACTTCTCAGAATACTCTTATTGATACACATATTCAATCTGAGATTAAAACATGTAGTATGTATGCTTCATTTTCATCTTTATGGAATTCACGGAATCTGCAACTGGAAGCTAAGTATTTTAGTGTTTCCTCACTTGGCTATCCATTGCATGTACTAGAAAGGATAGTGTAGTGGGTGCATGCATGTGTATGTATATTTATTTGTAGCAGCGTGTATGCATGTTTTGTTTTATTTTGCTTTTCCTGTAACTAAGTTGGAGCACGCAGCATTTTCGCCAAGTAAAGTATTTAAATGCTACTGGGGTCAGTTTCCTTGAGCTTTACTGCAAGAACAGACAACAAAATAGAAATTAAAGTTTTGCCAAGTAGTACATTTAGGCTCGTCCTTTGGATAAGCTTTACATTTGGGGGCTGGTCTTTGGAATCTGTAGTCCAAAGCAAAAAAAAAACATAGCACTTTTCTGTTTTGTTCTGAATTCGTTCAGATTCCTTATTTCTGTCATTCGGATGCATCCAGATGTCCAAATTTGCGGAAATTTGCACGAAATGTCAATTCAGAACGAAATTAATTGCACATGTCTAGCGGGAACCTCAGTGGAGAAAATCTGCAGAGCGGCTATTGGGTCTAATCAGGTTACCTTTTTCTATCTCGGTAAGTGTAGGTTTTCGCTCTGTCGTCTCTGGCCGGGGTGAAGGGAAGACGGCCAAACTGATTCTTCTCCTCTGCGGCCGCTGCAGCTACAGAGCGGCCGCGTAGGAGAAGAATCAGTTTGGCCATCTTCCCTTCAACCCGGCCAGAGAAGACAAAGCGATCGTCGCAGAAGCAGCGGCAGTTTCACCCCCGTCCTGCCGGCAGTGAACGCCCCCCCGCGCCGATGAACACAAGGAACCAGTAAGTTGCCCTGCAGTTCTGATGGAGAGAGCAGAATGTCAGACAGCTGCTTCTCCTTCACCGTCTGACCACAGGCTGGGGACGGGCACAACTTGTATGTTTTACTGAAAGGAGAATTTAAAAAGAAAAACTGACATGTAGGCTTTTAATGAAGAAGGGATTCTGTAGGTCTCTTCTGTCAAATTCTTCTTTCTACCTGCCAGCATTTAAAAAAAAATGTTTAGGCACACTGAGCGCACATGCGCAGTATGGTTCTGTGCAGGTACAAAGTAATTTCTGAGAGCATGATTGGGTTATCCCAGCCCGGCCATTCAAGAGGCTGAAGACTTTGAACCCAGAAGTGCCAATGATTTAAAGGAGCACTAACAAAATAGCGTACGTGCAGGGCAGGGTAGGGGTTAGGTGGGGCAACTGTATCGAGTAACTCTTAAGGCCTGGCTAGTAGCTCAGGGCCTGAAATTTTGAGCCCTGTGTTAGGACAATGCTAGGCAGCGTGGCTCCAACACTTCTACTGTGAACGAGCAGGTTACAAAATGTTTGGTAAGGCCTTGTTCACACCAAATGCAGAGCAGATCTGAATGAGTTTCTGCACACGCAGTGCAGTTGGCTGTGCCGCGTTTTAGCCGGGTTTTTGTAAAAAATAAAATAAATTTGTTTATAGTTTAAAATGGGCTTTCAATGCGTTCCAGGCGTTTGCATGTGTTTTTGATGTGTTTGCATGCGTTCCAGAGCAGGTAAAATAGGGGCTGCTCCAGTTTTTTTTACCTGCTCTGGAACTGAACGCTGCAATGTGAACTGGAGCAAAAAATACCATTGGAATACATTGGACGCAGTTTTGCTCCGGTCTGTAACTGCTCTGTTCTGCACCTGCTCCGCGCTTGGTGTGAACAAACTCTTCCAAAAGCATATTTTTTTCCAGAACCTGCAGTTTTACAAATGGCCACAAGATGGCGCTAGGAATGAGAAATCTGCACTTCAGATTTCACTCCACACGCTCGAACAGGCTGTAAGGTACTTTACACAAATGCACTTCCTGCTCCACCATTTTGTAGTCGGCCTTGGTCTACGAAGAAATGGCTGCCATAATGGAGACATGAAACCTGTTTAGTCACTGAAGATAGTTTAACATAGGGGCGTGGTGAGCGTAAGCTGGAGAACGCTCTGGTGGATATCATCCTGGGACCGGAAGTTTGTACTCAACAGAGTGGAGAAGACAAGATGTCGGAGTATACCTTAGCTCAGAAAGGACCTTTGAAGCTGAAAGGGATTGGAGACCTCAGCGAAGCCAAAAAGTAAGAACCCTACTTCCGGAAATGAGATGCATTGAACAGGGGGATTTCATGTATATTAAACCTTAATAATGTCCAGTACAGTCACTGTCAACGATTCGTATTTGTGTAAAGTAGCTTGTTGACAAGAAGTCATATATTAGATTGTAGTATCTATCTGTTAACTCCGGAGGAAAAAAAAAAGAAATCGGCTAACTAATCGTTTATGAAAAGATCATTTAGTTGCAGCCCTAGAGGGCACCTCCCTGAAATGATGGCAGATAGCAGAGGAGCCAATGCTATTCCCCTGCTATCTGCTGTTTCGGCCACCGCCTCTCTCCCCCCCCCAAAAAAAACCGATACTGCATGGGAATGAATAGCTAGGCTTCTATTGGCCAATTCAAATTGCAATAGAAAGCTGGCTATTGCACCCGCCTACTGCTGCTGTCAATCAGCAGAGGAAGACCTGAAGGAGAACATCACGCAATCAACATTTGTTGATTGACAGCAGCAGTGGGCGGGTGCAATAGCCAGACTTCTATTGCAATTTGAATTGGCCAATAGAAGCCTAGCTATTCATTCTCCTGCTGTTTTTTTTACTCTGACAGCGGAGCCGCTGTCATAATAATAAAAAAACAGATAGCAGGGGGATCCCGGAAAGTTATACTCTGAGTAAACCTTTCCGGGATGACATGTTTCTCCCCCGGGTCAGGGAGCTGCTATATTATAGCAGGAGACTCCTGGAATGTCCAGAAGAGTTGAGATGTCTGCCTTTGCGTCTGGGAT